TTAATTGTCTATTAAGTCCAGTTAGGCTTAATTAAGCGATTCATTTTGCAAAAATATATAACTGCGCCATAATAAAATTGACTACAACAATAAAAACTTATGAGAATATGGTTTATCGCAGTTTTTTTTGACTGGTAACAATATAGAAAGAGGTTAACTTAGCCTACCGTGCTTTGCTTTGCACTGCACGTCTCTGCTAGATGATCAACATTATTAATCTAAGATTCCTACTTGGCACGTAGTTGCAAGAACGTCCCAGCCACATCGACACTCGCCATCTTTTTCTAATAAAGCAACAGCTATTTCCCTAATTGGATACTCGGCGTAAACTGATATTCTTTTCCGCAATAAAAGCCAAAATGTGGCCCCACATGGCGCTTTTCGATCCCTTACCACACTATCCTAACCACTTATCGCATCGGAAGCCATTACGGATCTTTCTGCTTGGAGGGAACGACACATTTGTGGATAGAAACTTTCCGTCTGGTCGAAATAATAAAGCAGAATTCGCTTCTGACTCGCAAAAGAACCAGAAAATACGTTTTAGGAATGTTTAATCAAGGTTTATATTAGTTTTGACCGATGTACTAGTCTTTATTTGAAGGTAAAGGCAGGTTTTCACCAATCAGTGTCACTGAAACACTCAATCTAGCTTAACCTAACCTATCTAATGGCAATTTTGTTCTTATTTTGGCTAGGCGCAGAATTCCAGTAAGGTTCTTCTAGACATAGCAATGAATATCTTACATATATCAGTTCTGTTTTTTGACTTTTTATTAACCTTTATGATAAATATTATAATTATAAACACGTGTTTTATAAAATTTATTAATTGCTTTTTGAATTTACAATTTTATTAAAAAAAAATTGTGAATTTACAAAATAATTGTAAATTCACGATAATAAAATGTTTTAATTTGTTGTTATTCTATAGTAATATTACAAGAAGTTGGCAATTTTAAAAGATAAATTTACAATGAATAAGTAAATTTACTATGAGATACACATTTTTAAATAAATTCATATTTACAAACATGCCACAGATTAGCCATACAGCGATTTTACAAACGAGTTGTAAAACTAGATAGAACGGATAGTAAATTTACTACAATAATCTGTGGCAAGAAATAACCTTCGATATAGTTATTAAATTCACAAATAATTTTGTAGACAACATTTAAATTGCTTTTATATCAATTAGGAAATGCAATCCCGCAAATGCTGGATCCCGCAAATGCGGGATCCCTCTGTGATTCCGCAGGATCAAATTTGCGGGATTTACGCGGGATCTGCGGGATCGACACCAGGGGATTCCCTTTACGACTTGGCCATTAAAAATAAGTGAAACAAACAGGTTAGGCATTAGATTTCTTTCTGGCGTGCGTAAGTGAAAAAAGCGTTAACTACTTGTGGACAATTTCGTCAAATAAACTGCCGGACATAATTATCGGGACAAGCAAAATTTTAGTGTAAATTTAAAGTTGAATATCTCTTGAACTAAAAAATATTTTGGGATGCGGTTTGGACCAGGTTTTAGATGCATCTATTGTGATTAAGATACTTTGTGATTTTCGAAAATATATTTAGCGAATTCTCGTATACAGGGTGTTTTATACGAGTGTGAAAATTTGGTCAAGAATCTTTTTTACCGCAAATTTACAGTTTTTAAAAAATAGAAATTTTTACCAAGTACGACTAATCTGTATTGAAATTAGAAAAAAAAAACAATTTGATCGTTTTTTTTTGTTTTAAGGAAAATACGACGCTTTTTCGAAAAATATGCATTTTTAGTCATACAATGGTCCTAAATGGTACAAAAAGCTTTGTACATTTTGCATATGCCAAAAAATTATTGATATAGAGTGATCCAAAAGCAGATAACTAACACAAATTGAAAAAAAAAACCTTCAACATCAGAATAATATTTTTATTTATAAAATAAGTAGATAAATTACAATAAAATTTAAGTTTATTTAATATTAAATATATTTTTTGAACACCCTGTATACAACGGTCCAAACTTCTTTTCAGCTAGTTTAAGATACACGCTATATCAGTATATTGTGGGCCTATGCAAAATGTACAATGCCTTTTGTACCATTTAGGACCAAATGTATGACTATAAATGCATATTTTTCGAAAAAACTCGTATTTTCCTTAAAACAAAAAATTTCAAAAGAAACACCAAATTGTTTTTTCTAATTTCAATACAGATTAGTAGTACATTCTTAAAATTTCGATTTTTCAAAAATTGTAAATTTTCGGTAGAAAAAATTCTTGACCAATTTGTACACTATTATAAAACACTCTGTATACGAGAATTCGCTAAATATATTTTCGAAAACCACATAGCATCTTAATCATAATAGATGCGCCTAAAATCTGGTCTAAACCGCATCCCAAAATCGGAGAGAGAAAAGAAGAGCATTTATTGTTGACAATCCCGCAATTTTGCGGCGCGGGATTGATTGCTGTAATCCCGCGGGTTTGCGGGATTGAGATTTTGGTGCGGGATTGCATTCCCTAATATCAATGCAATACCTGCAAAAATACAAATAGAATATAAAATATCCACACAAATTAGAAAATGTAAATAAACCGGCTAAACAAACAGATGGTTGCCTAATTCCTAGCATTGGAATGACCACGTGGATTAACTGACCTCGTGTGGGTCAGTTAAAACTCTTGCATGGGCTAGTGTCCAGTGTCTGAAATTGAAGACTCTGAAATCTCTGAAATTGAAAACTTCTTATATAAAAGTAAAAAAATAATAGAAAAAAACACGTTTCTAAAAACCAATATCTTTACTCCGTATACCATCCCGCTAGCTGACACTATCCTTCCACTTATCGCAATCCGAGCCCATTACAGATTCGCAATGTGTCTGTGGCTGCGGAATGACACAAGCCAGCGAGGGCATTCGGCCAGGCAGACATTTCACCGATAAAAATTCGACAGATTTATCACTAATCTTGACGACAACCGGCCCTAAGAGAGACGAACCAAGAGATAGAAGAAGGCCAGATCGAAAACGACGAAAACAAGACAAGGCAAACAACGTAATCTTTTAATGATCTTTTTTTCAAACGCTGCTGATTGATTTTCGATAGAGGTTTGTCTCACCGTTAGATAGAATTTTTTTCGGCCTGGAAATCGACGCTACAGGGGGAACGTATAGAAGTGGAATATTTATGGTTTTCTTAATAGTTTTGTTTTTGTGTGTGCGCGGCTTTAGGTCTAATGGTGTCTCTGTCTGTTTGAAAAATGAACCTGCGGCGAATATGACGTACGGGGGATTCGTGAATATGTATTTATGTATATATGACGCGTCGAGTTCAAAAAACTGAAACTTACAAGTACAAGCCCCGTCCACACGTAACGATTTACCTGTCAGTCTTATCAACACAGTCAAAACGTATAATGTAAAATCTTGCGTGTACACGAAAAACGGTATGTTTTACTTAAATTGAATTAAGACGTAAGACCGTCTAGAGAAATGAGACGGGATCGTTCAGTTTTACAACAAAACTGTCGTATATTTTTTCCATTAATTATAATTCAAACTTTGCCAGTAATTTTTTGAAGAGATGAATATACAGGGTGATTCTTAAATAATTAGTATATTTCGACCCCAGAAACACGATTATGAGGTTTAGTTTCGTGAAAAAAAATTTGAAAATTAAGAATTCTTTGAAAAAAAAATTGACTTTTTTTAATTTTTAGTTAAAAATATAATTTGTTGATAATATGGCAACATAGCTAGTAGATTAAATTTACAAGAAAGAAACACCAGAAAAGATCTAGTGGTTCTCAAAATTTTAGCAAAAAAACATTTTTTTGGAAATTTTTAAATTCAATTATCTCGGTTATTTTAGATTTATTTGAAAAACGTTAAAGAGAAAATATGTTTCTTTTACCGAGATCTACCAGCCCTGAAAATATTTGCTCGACTCACCCTGTATAATAATATTCAAACATAATCTCGAAAATAATCTATTATAATTAAAAATTCAGCTCGAATTATTTACTGGGTTTTATCGACAATGCAGAAAAAAATACAACATTTTTGAAATTAAATTATAATCTCTATAACTAAGTAATTATAGAATAATTAAAATCCGCACGAAAATAAATGGCAATTCTGTTGTTGACAATAATAATCGGATCGATTTGACGATAAACCAATTGTAACAATATAATCCGCATAGCTGGCTACTGTAATGCTTAATATAATATGTAAATTTAAGTAATTATTTAACACAGTTAACAAATATAAAATGTAACATGTAGGTACATTTAAAAATTCTATTTTTTATTAAATTTTACTAGAATGGGTAAAAAATCACTATACCTGTGATTTTTTTCACAGTGAAACAAAAGTAGCACTCACAGCTATTAAGGTTAGGAATTTACAAATAACTGTGAAAGGCTAAAGGCTCTATTTTCAACTGCACTAAACACAATCATAAAAAAGCTAAGACATACGACCATCTTGAACGACATGCAAAACTGACAGGTAAAACGTTATGCGTGGACGTGGCTTTAAAATATTTGTTCTGTAATAATAAACAAAAATCTATAACACGTTACTGCCAAAAGACAGTAAATATAATTTAAGTATCATTTTAAAATTAAGATTTAGGCAAATAAACGTTAGAACACACATGTAAACAAGGATTTATAAAAATCAACACCATAAAATCCTTAAATAAACTTCGTAGAAACCTCGGTAGAAACTGAAATTATCACAAGGACTAAAAGATTTGTTGTGGTAAGACTTAACATATTTAATCGTCTAGACTAAAAATAGACTTGATTTAAATAGACAGACGGTGTGTCTATTTTGAATTGTCTTATTGCCACAGAGCCGAACCTCGTAATGCTACAATAATAATTAGATAATGCAAAATTAAACGGAACATGAAGTGATATTTTTTTACTCTACAGATAATCTTGAAATTTTTACTCATTTCGTCAGCTTTGAGTATGAATAAACTTACCTAAGCCAGCTCTCTAATTTGATGAATCTGAAAATAAGAGAAGAAGAAATACATTAAAAAAGGTTTAAAATAGCTAATAAAATTAAATACACTGACCGAAAAATGGAAACCTTAAAATTACACATTCAAAATTAAGGTCCCATTTGTCAAGGGAAATCTTATTTTAGCGAAAGTTTGGAACACCCTGTAGAATGGTATAATAAAGTAAGGCATTTAAAAATTACTGTATCATCAATGTGCATTATTTCTGGATAGTTTGTTTTTGGTTCATCTCAATAGCTTTATTTTTATTGGAGATATTCGCTTTTAAAGAAACCAGTAACAGTTTACAGCAATTTTAGCACTAAAAGCTTGCCTGTGCTTTTGGTCCTAATAAAACATACCTACGAAATGGTGTTTATTGCTTTTGTAATGCCACTGTCATTGAAAAGTCATATTATTACTGCATGTTGGCAGTTGCTCTTGCAGAGATGATTTTTTTGTCGGCCATTGACGTTTTTTTTATTTAAATAAATACAAAATAATCTGCAGCATTTAAAAAAATTGTTGCAGTGTCTCAGCCTTAATAAAACAACTACTGTTCGCTATATGGGTCATGTGTAGAATATATTAGACGCGTCAAGTTGCAAAACCAGCCTTACCCATTTAAAAAAAAATGGCCTAATGACATATATGAATAGTGGACCCTGAAATCTACATAAACTTAATCTCAAACTGCAGTAAAAGTCGCCTATTCCTATATAAACTTCACTACAAATTACGTTACTGCAGCAAAATCCGTCTTATCCACTTATATTTGCTTTTTATTGTCATTATTGCAAATACTAATGTTATTACAAATCCAGCATTTTTTCATAAGCTTTTTACACAAGTACAATATTAGCACTCACATCTTTTCAAATCCTTACTTAATTTTAATAAAATAGTATATTTTATAAATCAAGTTATTTATAAATCAATTTAAGATGCAAATACCGTATCATCGAAAAAAAAACGGCGTCCACTTGGTTAGGAAATGACAATCGATGACATTTCCCATAAAAATGTACATATAAAATGACAGCGTTCTTCATTTCATAGCCAATATGCATCATGCTGCAACAAAACCCGCCTTATCCGAATTATTTTTGTGTTTTGTCTGTTTATTAATTATAGTGATGGGTTGTTATTTAACTATCTGTTATTTTATAACAATTATTTAGAAATAACATAACGCAACCGTTACTACTTTTAAAAAATAACAGATATAAAATAACGACACGTGGAGATAGGCTGTTCGTGAAACGAAGTCGGCGCTCTGCACCGCCACGAAATTCGATGCTGCTCGAAGCAATTCCAAAAAACAACTAGTATGGAATGGATGGAAAACCTATTATTTCGACAACCATCGATACAGGCGGCGAGATACAACGGACAACGGAGTGGGGTATGCGCTACGGCGCGGCGCGTCGTGTTGGGCTGACAACAGCTTAAAAATAATAGGATATAAAAGAAGCAGCTTTTTTGAAATAGTTGCGGGCATAACGTCTGGCGGTCGAGATAACAGGAGTGAGAAAGGAGCGCTGCTGCATCGGTCGATTGTCGATGGAGGCTCGCAACGGGTTGGAGAATAACGCATCAGTTGTTTTAGCTATGTTGTTTTTTTACCTGTTACCAGCATAACAGAACGGCGTTCGAGATAATCGGAGTGGGAAAGTAACGCTGCTGCATCTGTCTATTGTCGATGGAGGTTTGAAACAGGTTGGAGAATAACGCATCAGTTGTTTTAGAATATTTTAGATACATATTGTTTTTCAACCTGTTACGAGCATAACGGGCGGAGGTCGAGATATTATGGCGCTGTATGTTTCAGTACTTTGTTATTAAGTTTCAATATTTAAGTATTTATTTATTCTGAAAAATATTCAGAATAATATTTTAAGATTTTTAAAAAATTTATACAGGGTGTTTTGAAAAATCTGGTCATTGATTAATCACGATCCTGCTTAAAGCCCTTGACGCAAAAAGCTGATTTTTGGAAAACAGATTGACTTTATGGTGTAGAGGTTCGATAAGAAGGGATTTTTCGAAACTCAAATTCTAAGGGGGTGAAACCACCCTCAAATATTAGAATATTTTTTATTTAAAAACTGGTGAGTTTTTCGAAAAAACCCTTAAACACGTATATCTTATTTTGTTGTTTTACATATTTTGAGATTTTTACAAAATATATACAGGTTGTTTCATAAAATATGGCCACTGAGTAATCATGATTCTGCTTAAACTGCTTGACCTTTAAAGCTGATTTTTGGCAAACGGATTGACTGTGGGGTGTAGAGGTGCGATAAGGAGGGGTTTCTCGAATCTCAAATTCCAAGAGGGTGAAAACACCCCTCAAATATTACAATATTTATTATTTAAAAAACGGTTAGTCTTTTGGGAAAACGATTGGACACGGATAATTTATTTGGTTTTTTTACATATTTTGAAATTTTTTAAAAAATAATACAGGGTGTTCCAAAAAGTTGAGTAATTGATTGACCACGATTTTGCTTAAACTGCTCGACGTTTAAAGCATATTTTTGGCAAATGTGAGAAAATTTTATCCGGTTTGTATGTTAATGGAAATTCTTGCTTTGCTTTATCATCACCATTACAAATTAATAATTCGACGCGAACGAAGTCGCGGGTACAACTTAACAAGTATAGCTAGAGACGTGAGAAATATAAAATAAGAGACGCCCCCCGATGCGCAGTGGACATCCCACAAATTTGCTTCAATCAGATTTTTCGTAGCGTAACTGCATCTCTCTTCCGCCGAATGCGTCCTCTCTCTATCGTGTGCGCGACCGGTGCTATCCCCAAGTCTCTTCCTATATTTGTCAAACTGTACATGCTAGTTTAAGTGTAAAATTAATTCGAACTCTAGTGTGTAGTTGGTTTACTTATGAAGAATATACTACACATTTTCTTATATTGCTATTTTTTGACCGCAAATGGTAAAATCATAACTAAGAGCTTCTCGCCCGTCAAGTGAGATGCACCCTGTACACTGCTACGCAATTCAGAATCTACGCGGATCGAGGGGTAGGGCGTAGGTAGATCGGAATTTATAGATATAGACGAGTGGCGGCATTTTGACTTTTTTATATCGCAATTTGTAAACAGCGCTTATTTGTAAACAACCCCGGTTTTTAGAGAGGTATTTTAGATAACAATCGATATTTAGATATGTTATGACACCCTGGAAATACTACCACCGAGCATGTCATTGTTGCAACCTGCAACTGCGTTAATACGCCTGGCGGTGACCGACTCATACTCTTTCAGATATTTAGCAATAAAATAAAGAAACCTGTTATTTTTAAGCTGTTATCTTAAGCTGTTTTTTATAAATAACTATAACAGTTTCAACTGTTATCTAAAAATAACAGTTTTGCCCATCACTAATTAATTAAATATTAATTTTTATTTTTGGAAAAACGAGATACAAAACAATGATTCCTCTCAATGGACACCTGTTTTTGTAAATTAACGCTTCAAACATTTGCTAAAACAGTTTGTGCTTATTATCTCGAAACAACGTTTGTGGGATAAGGCGGGTTGCGCAATTTGACGCCTCATTAATTAGTTGGGACCTCTCTGATATACCTAGATGTCCGTCATGTATTCTAGAGACCCTAAATTGGGACGTAAGTTATCCCTGCCAATTTCCTAATATCATGGTCCCATCTTCATCTTAGGTTTGGTCTTCTTCTAGGTCTCTTAATTCCTCTTCCCATCTGTTGTCCGTCCTCCTTGCCAGGTGTCCTATCCATTGCCATCACTTGAGGGATTTGATTGTGTGGGTGACATCTATTACATGTGTTTTTCATTGTATGCACTCTATTCTTTGACGGTCTCTTGGTTACTCCCAGTATATTTCGTTCCATCGAGCGTTGTGCGACCTGCAGTTTCCTTATAATGTCGGTTTTAAGTGTCCAGGTTTCGCATTCATAGGTCACGACTGGTAGTACACATTGATCAAATGTTTTCTTCCATAGTGTGCGAACACAGTGCAAGCAGGTTTGCCGCTTACTGGTAGTCAGCGCCAATCTGGGCACCTATTCTTGACATCGTTCGCAACTTTGCGTATACGCATCACGTGTATTGTTATAAACAGGGTATCCCAGAAATAAGTGCAAGTATTTTAAAGGGTGGTAGATCTCGATAAAAGAAAAATATTTTCTCTTTATCGTTTTTCAAATAAGTCCAAAATAATGGAGTTATTTTACTTTTGAAAATTTCCAAAAAAAAATATTTTTTACTAAAATTTTGAGAACATTTTTTTTTCTTCTTCATGTGCCTTCTCCTCATCGGAGGTTGGTGACCATCAATTGGAATTCCTCCCTGTCTTGAGCCAAACGGATAATTGCACTGGCCTCTCCTATATTAAACCACTGGCGAGAATTCAGCAACCAGGAAAACCGTTTACGCCCGATGCCTCGTCGTCCTTCAATCTTTCCCTCAACGATCAGCTGTAGGAAACTATATTTGTTATTTCGAAAAATATGACCAAAATATGCTGCTTTCCGTCGTTTTATTGTAGTCAATAGTTCTTGGTCCTTTCACAGTCTTTCCAATACTTCGAGATTTGTTTGAGAACCACTGGATCTTTTCTGGATTTTCTTTCTTGTAAATTTAATCTACTACCTATGTTGCCATATTATCAAGAAATTATTTTTTTTAAATAAAAACTAAAAAAAATTGCAAAAAAATTACAAAAATATTTTCAAAAAATTCCGAATTTTCAAAAAAAAAATTATTTAGAAAAAAACCTCATAGGCGTGTTTCTGGGGTTGAACTATACTACCAGTTAAGTTAAAATACTTGCACTTATTTCTGGGACACCCTGTATATGGTTACATAGTAGCGCCGCGCCGCGCCGCCTCGCGCTTATAACCTTGAAAAATTAAAGCGTGTTATCAAATCGGCTAGTTCACAGTGAAAGCAGGCAGGCACCGTCAACCAGCGTTCATCGGCGTTCTCGCTTTTACTGGAACGAAAAT